CATTTTTAAACTGTCAGGGAATCATTGGTTTTGGTGTTTAAAGGGTTAAAGATTATTGGACCAGTCATGATCTCAATGAATAGCAGGACAGAGTCAGTGGCCCGAATGGCCTAATTCTGTTCCTACATCTTATGGTCTTATGGGAAAGAGAGATCATGGGCAAGGAGGCATGATAATAATCAGTGAGAGTGAGAAGGAGGGAAGACGAAGAGAAGGAGACAAAAAACAAAATAGAGGGATGAGAAAATATCAGAGAGAGAGTTCGAGATTCACGGAGAGAAAGTGAAAGAGAGGAAGAATTTGGGAAAGAAGGAAGAGAAAAGTCAAATAGAGGTATGAACAGAAGAAAAATAAAACTCATGGGTATGGACAGGGTGAATAGCCAAGGTCTTTTCCCCCAGGGTAGGGGAGTCCAAAATTGGAGGGCATAGGTTAAAGGTGAGAGGGGAAAGATTTAAAAGGGACCTGAGGAGCAACTTTTTCACGCAGAGGGTGGTGCATGTATGGAATGAGCTGCCAGAGGAAGTGGTGGAGGCTGGTACAATTACAATATTTAAAAGGCATCTGGATGGGGACATGAATAGGAAGGGTTTAGAGAGATATGGGCCAAATGATGGCAAGTGGGACTAGATTAGTTTAGGATATCTGGTCAGCATGGATGAGTTGGAGCGTAGGGTCTGCTTCCATGCTGTAAAATCTATGGCATGCAGATAGAGGGACCATCAGAGGGACTGATTGAAATAAATGGAATAGAGAGAGGGACAGAAAAAGATACAAGAGAGCTATGGAGGGAGAGAGAATGGAAGGAATGAGGCAGAAAGAGATAGACGGAGGCAGGGTCCCAGAAAGAAAGAGAGAGGAAATGAGAGACGTGAAGGAGACTTAAATAGACGTGCAGAGTGAAATAAAGCGACATAGAAAGATCGAAAAGGTCATGAAATAGACTGTGGCTGCCACAAATAAATGGACACAGTGAGAGATAGTGAGAGAGAGACACACAAAATAAATGGAAGAGCAGAGGCTGAGTGAAGATGAACGCAGTTAAAGAAAAACTCTTAGTCCATTCAGGAACAGTCCAAGATCTCTACAATAAGGTCAGTTTTCTATCTAATAAGGGAAAATAAATGTATAATTCCAAAAACCCTTCAGGGAAGCGATATATGACTGAGCTGGAAGGGCATCTGAATCCCATTATCCGGCACACAGATAAGCTGAAGGATGGTACCAGATCATGGACTAGGCTATTGCTTGTGAGTTGAGAAGTAGCTGTTGAGAGCCACACCATCGAGAATTAGGTGACTGTACTGGGATTTCAGGAAGTGAGCCTTGTTGTCACAGTTTAAACGGATACATTGTGAACAGGCCCTCTCGATAAACTGGCAATATATACAACACATCCTTCAAATAACCGGAAGTTTAACAAATTATCTCCGTCCCCTCGATGTCCGAGGAGACAGTCAAGGGCGCAGGTGAGCAGGCTCTGTGTCGGAGATAGTAGGAACTGCAGATGCTGGAGAATCCGAGATAACAAGGCGTAGAGCTGGATGAACACGGCAGGCCAAGCAGCATCAGAGGAGCAGGAAGGCTGACGTTTCGGGCCTAGACCCTTCATCAGAAAAGGGGGAGGGGAAGGGGGTTCTGAAATAAATAGGGAGAGAGGGGGAGGCGGATAGAAGAGGGATAGAGGAGAAGATAGGTGGAGAGGAGGCAGACAGGTCAAAGAGGCAGGAATGGAGCCAGTAAAGGTGAGTGTAGGTGGGGAGTTAGGGAGGGGATAGGTCAGTCCAGGGAGGACGGACAGGTCAAGGGGGCGGGATGAGGTTAGTAGGTAGGAGATGGGGGTGCGGCTTGAGGTGGGAGGAGGGGATAGGTGGGAGGAAGGACAGGTTAGGGAGGCAGGGACGAGCTGGGCTGGTTTTGGGATGCGGTAGGGGGAGGGGAGATTTTGAAGCTTGTGAAATCCACATTGATACCATTGGGCTGCAGGGCTCCCAAGCGGAATATGAGTTGCTGTTCCTGTAACCTTCGGGTGGCATCATTGTGGCACTGCAGGAGGCCCAGGATGGACATGTCGTCTGAGGAATGGGAGGGGGAGTTCAAATGGTTCGTGACTGGGAGGTGCAGTTGTTTAGTGCGAACCGAGCGTAGGTGTTCTGCAAAGCGGTCCCCAAGCCTCCGCTTGGTTTCCCCGATGTAGAGGAGGCCACAATGGGAACAGTGGATGCAGTATACCACATTAGCAGATGTGCAGGTGAACATCTGCTTGATGTGGAAAGTCTTCTTGGGGCCTGGGATGGGGGTGAGGGGGGATGTGTAGGGGCAGGTGTAGCACTTCCTGCGGTTGCAGGGAAAAGTGCCGGGTGAGGTGGGGCTGGAGGGGTGTGTGGAGCGGACAAGGGAGTCACAGAGAGAGTGGTCTCTCCGGAAAGCAGATAAGGGTGGGGAGGGAAAAATGTCTTTGGTGGTGGGGTCAGATTGCAGATGG